TATTTTCGATTGTTCAATTCCCACGTTGTTTGCACGCGCGCGCACTGCCGCGGTTCACTCAACTCAAAGCAACTCAAGCCTGTTTGATGCTATTACGCTCGGCGCGCGTTTCGTATCTACAACGGTTATGTATTTTTACTACTCGACAGCGATTTTAACTAAGATTACACCGCTCATCGATTAATTAGTCTGGCCAAAACCGAACACACACTCACGCACACTCGAAACACATATTCAAATACATTTAAAAAAAAATGTAATGGTTGCCTTGTTTAAAATTCTATTACTTCCACAACCATTACATTCGTCGCGTTGACTTTCTAAACCACTCACAGCAACTCGGTGTTGATGAGAACCAGCTATGCTGATTGAACTCACAACTAGCGGCGCTGTCAATGCTGAAGTAGTTGTTGTTAAATGCGCAAGTGGTTGTTGTAATGCCAACTAACAGATCGTTAATTATGCCTTTGATTACACATTGATTACTTTTTTTTTATTAATTTCTTTTTTTTCTTTTGTAACGGAAAGCTTAATAAATCTAAAAGAGCGTAGAGTGCAAAGTTGAAGAATAATTCATTTTTTTTTAACTACAGCTTTATGAACTTCGGATTGAAAAATTATAAAACAATAATAAAGCAGTGTATGTATGAACCCAATCTGCGTGTTAATCTGCAATTACTTGTGACGCAAAATACATATAATATTAAAATGTTGGGCCCCGTGGCAGCAATTTGGAGTTATTAGCTGTTATAAGCCGACAAATTTAAAAGCAAACGCATAATAGGTAATTACTCTGACTCAATTGGTTTAAGCAATTTGCCCGATTGTGGTGTTTTATGCTAAATTCTGTAATGTATGTTGAGTGATTCATAAACATGGTTTTAGAACACACACCTTTTTACTTAAATTTCGTGTTTTTTAATTTCATATATGTAAATATTATTTTTTTTTGTTGTAATTAGCATTTATATATTCTACTGTTGACTGCTGCTTGAATTTCTAGTCAGTCTTCTATGCAAATAATCTTCATGCAGCAGAATTCAAAAAGCTGCTTATCGATATTATTTTTTTAAAGCACTTTTGAAGAGGGTTATTGACTTTCACAATAATTTAATTTAATTTATAACAATTGTAAGTAGGTAAAATTATAAATAACCAAGTACTGTTATTGCTGAGAGCCTCTTATTGTATTTGATTATTATAATTGTTGAAAGCACTCTACTCCGACGCAAAATTTATTTTAATTTATAATTGCGTACTAATTTTCTATTGGCTCTGTCTCAATACTTTCAATTTAAAGAAAGAAAAAAGAATTTAATGTAGAAAATTAAGCGTGAGTGATTTTAATTTAAAAATGTTCATGAAAAACAATCTCATAAATAAAAATTTCCTGTTATTCAAGGGTGTAACATATTTATTGTTTACTTTATTTTAATTTTTTATATTTGACATATATATATTTGGTAGACGCTATACCAATAGAAATGACGTGATTTTGACACCTCGTGGCGGCCATGTTTGTTTACGAATTTGTGTCAAAGTTTGTTAGTGTGTTTAGTAGGGTTTGTCATTTCATCATGTCATGTTTTATTTTGGTACAACGCTTGGAAATTGTCCAAGTTTATTACGCAAAGTCACATTCTCGAGAAAAACGTTGAAAAAACTTTCATGGAAAAATCATCTTCACAGATGAGGTCCATTTCTGTCTTAATGGCTTAGTACACAAAGAAAATTGTCACTTTTGGAGTTAGTCAAATCCTTGTGTAGTTCAGGAACCGCAATTGCATCACCAAAAATGTACCTTAATCTAAAACTTAGCGATCCAAACAGGGTTAGATCGTCGAAATAACAGCTCTTGGCCGGATAAAATCCGGGTCAATTCCGGTATCGCAAGACCGGCTGTTGTGGGAATTGCTGGGATGCCTCTTGATGTCTCCAATCGAGCACCTACATAGCGAGGCCCGTATGCTTCCGGTTAAGGAACATAACGAGCTCCTCTCCAACCAGTTTCTGCTGGGATGTTTTCGCAGAAACCACCCCTGCAGTCGCCTGCTTGTAGCGGAGCCGCCTCCTAGGAACATCAAGAGGTCCTTCCTTGACCACGTCGACGACATTAGACAGTACGCCGACCAGACTTCGGACGCAACTAACTTCAGACAGGCACTGACCGCCATTCACAGTGGAGCCATTAACACCTTCACCGACTCCCTCTCAGTGAATGGCGTAATACGAGTCAAACCACCACCCATTGCAGACACAGAGCTCGAGTTGCCTCGCGAATCTAGAGTGACCCTCGCGCAACTTCGTTCTGGATACTGTAGCAGGTTAAACTCCTACCTATCCAGAATAGACCCTGACATACCAAACACATGTCCTGCATGCAATGAGTCTCCGCATGACACTAACCACCTCTTTGCATGCCCAACAAACCCCACTCATCTAACACCCCTCTCCCTCTGGTCCGACCCCGTCGAAACAGCTCGTTTCCTGGGCCTTCAGTTAGATGACCTCGACGACAACGAATCTAGAATTTATCACCCAAACGGGGATTAGATAATCGTTACAACAACAACAACAACAGCCTTATAACACGATTTTGATCCGACTTTTTTTCCCCCGAAATTTAAAGAAATCGATGCGAACAATCTCTATTCTATATATCTAGACGTTGCGCCGCCTTATATTTCACGTCTAAATATGAACAAATTGCGTGCAAAGTTTGACGACGAATTAGAACCTATTTTGACCAAATTTGAGTAATTTATTTCATTTTAAAAACACGTCTTTCTTGTTGGTAGACCCTGTATGTATGTATATAATTCCATGTCGTTGCCCAAACTTGAAGTGTTTTTTTTTTTATTATTTTCAACACATTTGTAGAACTTAAGCTTTTTCTCGTGTACGTTTTATTAATTTTAATAATAATTAATTATTTATTAGTTTGATTTGTTCAATTTAAATATATGTAAATTCCTAATTTTAAAATTTTCCATATGTACGTTTTTTGGCGCCATATTTATCGATTTGCAATTATAGTATATCGTTTGCTGTTGTTCGTATTGGAACCAACTACATATTCATGTATATTATTCTTTATAAATTCCTCGTTTCAATTATTAATTTTTAGCAATTTTCTTGTTATTTTTTTTAAATCAATTTTAAAATTTAATTTTGGTTTTCTAGGTATTTCTATAAAAAATTATTTTATAAAAAAAATTATAATGTACAAAACTTCAATGCGGAAAAATACAATGTTTTCCAGTAATTATATTTTTTTAATTCTTCTGTACATAAATATTGTATGAGTATCAATAGATTTGTTAATTACTTCACTTCTTAATTATCAAAAGTTTAAAGTGTGATTTTGGTGCTCTTTCAATTATGCCGTCGGCATATCAACGATCTGTCTACGCGCACTTCGCAACTTCCGTCGGCACTTCAAAGCAACTACGCATGCTCGGGTTTGGCAATACTCAAAAAATGTGTTATTTTTTTTTAACTGTATACTTGTATAAAGTAATTAATGAGATATATTTTTTACTTATGAATTAATCAACTGCTTGTACAAAATCAATTTTATTTTATTTACCTATATTTATTATACCCTGAACAGGTTGTATTAAGTTCGTAATACACAGAAGCAAACGTCGGTGACTTTATAAAATGTATATATAAATGAGCAGCGTGACGAGCTGAGTCAATGTAGTCATGTCCATCTGTCTGTTCGTTTGGCTGTATATACGCAAACTAGTCCCTCCGATTTTGAGACATCGATCTGAAATTTTTATGCACATATCTTTTCTCTCCAAGAAACTGCTCATTTGTCGGAAACGCTAATATCGAACCACTATAGCGCATATATGTATGTAGCTGTCGTACAAACTGAACGATCAAACTCAAGTGCCCGTATGAAAACTTTTTTTGACACGGTATCTTCACGTAATTTGGCACAGATTACTGCTCAATATACCGCTTCAATTCGCAAATATATTTTTCAGAACGGACCACTATAGCATATAGTTGCCATACAAACTGACCAATCCAAAACAAGTTCTTGTGAGGAGAAATTGAACCTGTTAAGGTTCCCTCTTGTTTTGTAAATATTTATAATATGTTATTATACAATAAAATAGTGGTTCATTTAATTCTCTCTAAATGCTAAAACTTAGCAAAACTTTTGGAAGAAATCAAAATTTTATATATTATGTAACAACGAAGAATATGAAAAAATGTTAAGCTTAGATGGCTTGTTACATTATTAATTCCTTCAAACTGATGTTAAAATGAAAATATTGCACTGTTACAATAATCCAGCACGTGACTGTATATTTAACAAAATTTTGAAAATTTGAATCACAAAACTTAATTTTAAATTAATTAACAAATTGTTGAATTATTTATATTACTCAGTTTAAAAATTTCAACAAATTAACTTAGAAGATTCCTGCGTGTGTGATGCCAGATTTTATACATTTTTTTTAAACTTTTGAAATTCATATGTATGCGAAATTAAATAAAAAGCCATATAAGTAATAAAGCAATTAACCAAACTCGAGTATACTAAACCATATGCAACTACAAATATTATTTACCAAAATCATGATTGATTGTTTTTGTTTTTTCTTGAAACATCATTTTATTTGGTTATATGTATCTCATCATTTAGTCATGCAACCTAAAAGGCTAATTGAAAATAATGTTTATTTACACAACAACTCCCACAACAGAATTTAAAGGTTAATTGCTGTCAGCAACGATGTCAAATGACATAAGCTCAGCGGCAGCGGGTCGGGCGGGCGTTTCATAATTGTTTAGCTTTTCCTTATTTTGTTTTGGTTCCTATTTCACTTCCATTTCTCTTTCAAAACAGCTTCAATCGGTTTTGTTTTGCTACATTTTACAATTTTTTCCCACAAATCTTGATGACACAGCGTTAGTGTGAGTGTATAAGTTTGTCTGCAGTCTAGTGCGTGTTTGTGGGCGCACGCTCGCCCCTATGATTTATTATAGAGCAATCAAAAAATCACCTAATTTGTGTAAACACACCGACAAGAGCGACTGACATGCCAGCAAGCGCAGACAGATAGACATACACACCGGCAGCCACACAGCCATACAGACATATGTACATATCTACTGTCAGACATAAATATATTTGCAGCAGCATAGACGTGCGTCTTGTATGCGGGTAGCAAAGTAGGTGAATGATTCGTCGTCGTAAGCTACTCCTGTCGGAAGCAGCTATCGGGTTACAAGCCGTCGCACGCCGCCTCTGGCAGCGCAACGAAAAAAGATGTTGCATGAGAGAAAAAAAACCTGAAAGTTATAAGTACAAAAAACAAAAAATGTGTGTAAAAAGCAATACAACTTACTTTCCTTCTGGCATTTTTTTTTTGTTTTACTGACTTTTTTGCTGCCGTATTTTGTTGTTGTTGTGGTGCGCCTGTTCTCTGACCTTAAACATTCTTTAAGTTCGTAATCCGCCATAAGTATATCCGAGTGGTTTGTTGACACGTTGCGGTGAGTGATTGCTTTTATTGTTGTTGTTTTTTTCAGGGTTGTTATATCTGTTGTTGTTGTTTTTGTTGCTGTTCACTTTCGTGCATACCTGTTGCTGTTGCTGCTTGTACTTTTGACATGTGCTGTTGTTGTTGCAGCTGCTTTAGCTAACTGTCGGTATTTGCGCTCGCATATTATTGACTTAGTTTGTTGTTATTCTTCTTGTTGCTGTTGTTGTTGTTCATAGCTATGTGTTTCATGTAGTTTTATGCAGTTTGACATTCTTTTGCTATAATATTTTGTTCTCGTTATTATATATTTTGCTTCTTGGCTTTGTTTGTTGTTAATATGAAAGATTACATTTCATATTGCGTTGTTGCTGTTGTTTGCTCACATAATTACCTTTTTACTTGTTCATTTGTCTGTTAGCTCATAGTTGAGTTGTTGAGTTATCACAATTTGTCTAACTATTTATTTTGTTTAGTATAAGTATATAACTAATCGGGCACTGAGCTTCAAGTTAGAGTCATATCGAATGTGTGGTAGGCCCTAAGGCTGTTGGTCGAACCCTTTTTGTTGGTATCTTTGACAAAATAAATTACATTGCATTATTATGCAATTTTAAAGATTTTTTAGTAAAGAGATTTTTTTTTGTGTGGCAGGGTAATATATCTTTCATACCCTAGATGGGGTATAATTAGTTCGCCACAAAGTTTGTTACATCCACTCGAAAACGCCAAAGACCCTATAGAGTGTATATACTTGTATGTATATGCACATATACATACGAGCGGAGCCGATTTAGTCATGTCCGCCTCTCCATCTATCTGTATATATGCGCACTGAGTTATTGAGTCGCTGAGTTATTGAGATATCGATCTGAAATTTTGTTTTCTGCTCTCCATAAAGGATGTCGGAACCACCGATATCGGACTACCATAGCATATAGCTGGCATACAAACTGATTGATAAAAATCATGTCCTTGTATGGAAAACTTTTGTATTTGACGAGTTATCGTCACAAAATTTCGCATGTATTATTGTCAAAGGTAACAAGACGCGGCTAGAAGAAACAACTAGTAAAACGTTTTTTATTGGATGGAAATCTTTGGCCGTTTACGTTTTCAGATTACATAGTATATAGTAACTATAAGAAATGCATCTGTGAAGGGTATTGTAGCTTCGGTGCAGCCAAAATTTTCGTTTATCTGTTTTGTTTTATATTTATTTAAATATAATTTTTTTCGTTTGTTTTTTTGTAAATTAAGTTAATAAAATAAATTTAAAAATTAATAATTAAATTTAAATAACAAAAAAATAATAATAATATAAAATTGCTTTCACACTACTTGTATAATCTTAAACAATTCATAATTTTTTTGCCAGCATTTTCACTAGCAACAAAAAAGTTACACAAATAACTCTTGTTTTTTGTTGTTTGTTTTTATTGTTGTATTTAACAAAACCTTGCGTTCTTTTCTTATTTGCCTTTTCTGCACTTATGTAACTGTTGTACCATATGAAATAATGTGCTGTTACTTATAATCTTGCTGCTACTTTCATTTCATCATGCTGTCGTTAGCTACTTACGCCGTCAAATTTGCCAGCACTTGGCAACCACTCAAGCAGGCAGCGCTCAACACATACTTAAGTGTCATTTTTCTGCTTCTTCACCCATATAAACACATCGATCAAGCAGCACTCGACTGCGGATTTACATAATTGGTGCGCCTTTGACAATGCAAAAAACAACAACAACAAAATGTGTTGTTATTGCTACGCATAAGCTGTTTGTGTTGTATTGATTATTATTGCCAACTATTTAATTCTATTTAATTATGGGCATTTGAATTTGGTGGAAGAGGATGTACACACATAAATACAAACATGATTTTTTGCTCCATTACATTGCCAAGTACTCACGCAGCTTTCCAGTTTTTCACCTAAGTAAAACTTATTGTCATTGTTTGTTGTTGTTGTTCTTGTTGTTGCTTTATTGTGTGACATTATGATAAAATCTTCAAAACTCGGAATACAAAAATTCAGTTTTTCTCAAAGCAATGTCACAATACAAACACAATGAGATATAAAAGTAATTGTGTGAGTGCCGGAATTGAGAGAAAAAAACTGAAGAACTTGTCTATTTGTGTATGTGTATGTGTTAACTCAATTATGTGTCTGCGCTTTGTATTGTGAACATATTTACTTAGGCGCACACAAAAGCAGCAAAACATCAAAAGCATTCATATTTACTTAAGCATTTTTCAAAGTAAACGAGAATAAGTGGAAAGTGAACGAGCTGCTGCACTATTGCACGGACGGCGCAGAGACGCGCGACCAACTAGGCAACAGGACAAAAAGCACGAAAAAGTGATAAAATGAGAAAAAGTAAAGTTTTATAACTGAGGGACAGCTTGATGATGCCGTTAAAGCGACGCATTGAAGACACATTGAAAAAAGACATCACGAGTATTTTTACCTTTTTTCAATACATACATATGTATGCATGCTTGTATATACAAATGTATGTATGTTGTGCGTTGTGTGTGTGTTTAATTTTCTTACTACCAATTATTGTTACTTTTTAATTCTTTTGAAATACTTTTTGTGTGTAGTCATCTGCTTTTGGCTGTGTCAATCAATGCTCTTGCGGCCAGACAGCAAGCATGGCGCGGCAGAAACTGTATTTTTTCTGCTCAAATATATTTTTTTACAAATTTCTTATTTTAGTTTTTTCTGAACTGCGACAAAATGTTGCATGCCGCAGTCATGACAGCAAACCATAATAATAATGGGCAATACATAAAACACAAACAAATACAAAGCAATACGTTGTTAGCAGCAAAAGACTTGTTGTTGTTGTCAGCGACAGCGCTGGCAACAAGCGGTCATTATCGGTTATACCTGTTCGCCGAGCATCACATAAAGTTTAATATCACTATTTTTTTTAATTAAGCTCGGTTAAATTACATTTTAAATACAATTAAAAAAAACTTTTATTACAACTTCTTGTTGTTTTATTTTTTGTTATTGTTTGGGAGATTTTGTTTTGGAGTTTGTCAGATATCGATTTGAAATTTTGCACACATTCTTTTCTCCCCAAGAAGTTTTACATTTGTCAGAACCGCCGATATCGGACTAGGAGGCCCATTGTGATACCAACGGGACCAAGGTCCCCTCACTCTATTAGCTCCTCTCTGAACCACCCCGTACTTGTGTTGAACTTCAGCAGTAAGACAAGTTTTGTCTATGCAACCTCCGAGACGTCGTCAAAAAACCCTCGATTTATGCTGCGATTCTTTTCCTATATAGAGCCGTGCGATCGCATAAAAGATGTTTAATGGTCTCCTCCTCTTCTACCTCCTGACAGCTTCTACAATAATCGTTATATGGCTATCTATTTGCATGCCTGCCTATTAGACAGTGGCTTGTTAGTACTCCTACTAGACCTATCATTCCGTTTTCTATTGGTATTACTACGTACTGCTATTACTATATTTTCCTTGAATAATTTATTAATATACATACATATATATACATGTATGTGAATATCATGCATATTTATAAGTATCTATTTTACATATTTCTTTACCTACCCCTCCACTTGCCGCCACAAATATTGATCGCAGCTCAATTTCATTTGCAGCAATCTCAGCCATAGTTTACTAACCTGCTAGCCACACACACATATCTACATACAGACATTTGTACGTAAATGTATCTAAGTACACAAAATAAATGCGCCGCGCTACATTTGTATCTGTCCATGTCCACTTGCTGCTTAGTCTTTTTTAAGCCAGAACATTACAATTGATTTTTATGACTTTTAAAGTGGAAAACTGGTTTTGATTGCAGCATGTCCCAAGCACACATACGCACACGCACACACATGCAGGCATGCTGACATCTCTGCTATAATTAAAAATAAAAACAGTCAAAATCGACACAAAAAGCATTGTAATCCAGAAAAAAGAATGACATTTGAAATAATACCGTGTCTATGCGGCAATGTTGCGCTGTATCACTTGTCCGCACACACACGCAAACAAACATGCGTACAACGAATGCAGATAGCTGGAAATGCTGCAACGAAATGAAGACAGCATTGTCCAATAGGTAATGTCTCTAAAACAAACATTGAGTTCAACTAAATATTTAGATACCTGCTTGCTGCTGGCGCTGCTCTGTTCGCTTGTCTGCCAATAATTGAAGTGTAGCAGCATGAGAGTGAGCAAGTAAGTAAATACGAGTATTAAAAATACTCGTTACAATAAGCGTAAGAAATGTGTGAGATTTCCATTGCGTATTCGTTCATCTTCGCTGGTATACCCCACACGTATTCCTAAAATGTATGTGTATAAGTGTGTGAATTGGAGAATTGTTTTCCGGAATTCGTGGGTATGCACTACAAATTGCTTATAGCATAACAGTTACAACTCAATAAAATCAAATTTCAAGGAATTCACAACTTTCTGCGTGTGTGTGTGATTGCTCAACTGTCATAATTTTGACACAAGAAACTGCTGAAAAACGCCAAATCATTGCAACATGTTATTTCTGGAAGTTTTTGTAAAAAAAAACGAAGTTTTCGTCCGGAAACCATTTTTATCGTGATATTGCTATAATTCGAGTGAATTAAAATCATTTTAGTCTAGCAGAATATTTTTTTTTATAAAAAATACTTTTTTAATCTTAAACCCATAAATTAAAAAAAAGTAAATAAAATGTTTAATTAAATATTTTTGTTGTATAATTTACAAATATCAATAATTATTTCAGTTAAAATTTTTTTATAATAAATATTACTTTTTTAATCTTAAAAACACATAAATTTAAAAAATTAAATAATTATATAAATATATTTTTTTTTCTAATTTTTAAATATCTTTATTTATTCCAATTAACATTTTTTTTATAATTTTAAAATATCTTTAGCTTTTGCTGTTAAACTTTTTTTATTTTTTCGTAACCTAAAACTTTGTTGCCTTTTCGTGTATCAATTGTTTTTTTTTTACTTCGAAAAATATTACATATTTTGTTTTCAAATTTATTAATACCTTTGTAATAATTTAAATTTTTTTATTTTGTCTGCTCTATGTTATCAAAAAAATCCTATCAATTTTTATTTTTATGTCAAATATTATAAATTATAAATTTTTTAAGCGCATGTTATTTGCGTGTTTTTTATATTACAAATTTTTTAGTTTTTTTTTTTAATATTTAGTATTTAAATTTTCGGTATTTTTTATTTCACACATTTTTTTGATTTATGAATTAAGTTTAATATTTTAGTAAGTAAAATAATATATTTTTTTTTTATTTTAACACGAATTTTTCAAATTTTGAAAATGTCGGTTTTCCACAGAATATGTTTCATTAAATATTTTTTAAATTTTTCAAATATACCTTTATTGAATCTTATGTATAATTTAATAATATAAATTTGGTTTCTTAAATAATTTATTAATAGTTAATTTGTTAAATATTTCATACTCAAATTTATTTTTTTACGTATATTTTTAATATAAACATTTTTCCTCAAATTCATATTTACAACATTGCATAAGTATTAATATTATATATTATTATTTTTAGCTTAAATGTGCATTTTGCTTAAAATTTGGAATCTGTAATAATTTTTTTCAACATAACCTCACTTTAATTCAAACGAATTCTAATATAGAGCAACAAAAAACTAGTTTGAGCTGAAAAAATTGTTTTCTTTGTTTATTTATTTATTTTTTTTTTTTGAAAAAAAAATGTATCATATTTTTTTCGATTTCTCATTTTTTTACCTAAAATATTATTATATTTTCAATACTAAAAACTTGAGTCTTTCACATTCTCTCACCCAACGAATGGTATACACTTTGATGTGGGTTTCTTACAAACATGCGTTGCGGGAGCTGATATTTGCCGTCGGCTAGTCATTTATGCAAATGCATTGCGGTATATACGAAATAGTATAGCGAGTTGAGAAGCAATACAATTGATCGCGCGAACGAGGGCGACAAAAGGTATGACCGTCATTTCCGTTCATATGCTGCTTGAATG